TTAGTCTTTGGCTCTCTACCACAGCACGACTTTAGTCTCGTCTCCTTGCTCTCGTCCCCGATGAGGCGAATCTTGTTGGGATTTGGAATTGAATAAATAAAATCAAAGTGAATTAAACAGTGTGACCACAAAATGTTTTGATTGCATCAGGTGATCTTTAGTCCCTTTTGTGTATTACTTACTTTAAAAAAGTGCATTCCCACCTGTGAATACGGTGGGCTGATAGGTCTTCTCACACGGAGCAGCTGGGAATGTTTCTCCTCCTGCAGTGAGGAGACCTGGTTGTTGGTGTTTGCTCTCAGTGGATCGTCTTTCTGCTCGTGTGTTGGGGGCAGACGGCATGTTCCTCCGTTCCTTCTTCAGTTCCTGAATGGTCCGTGTCTTTTTAGCGAGCTCTTGATTCAGCCGCTCAAGCCGCACGCCAAATGCTGCCTCGGCTTGGCGCTGGTGCCGGCCGGGACTCAGCAGGGCCTGTAGAACGAAGGGCTCTCCTCAGTATTGTATAATCGAGTACAAGTTTATTTTGTGTTATCAACTCCTCCATTATCCTACTTCATCCATTATTCCAAGGTTTCAGGGCAAAGGCTGCCTGCTCTAGCATCTGGAGGCAGCTAAGACAATAGCTCTTTGCTTTTAGTAAGACTTGTACTGACCTTCTGTTTAAGCTGCTGCTGGAGAGACTCGATCTGCTCATGCAGAGATTTCTCCTTCTGTTTGTGGCTCTGCTTCACACGGTACAGCTCTTCCTCCAGAGCCTGGACTACTGATGACTGGGACCCAGCTGCTGCTTCAAGCTGCTGCTTACGCTGCAGCTGCTGCTCCAGCTCACAGATCTGCTGCTCGTAGCGGAGCTGCAGAGCAGACACATAGTGGCATTCAACAAAAATCTGCTACACAAACAGGTTGTTCGTTTTTAAGACTCAGTTTGTGAGCATGATTTAAAATGTATTTGATTTTATAATGTGTCTAATTTGATTAAATAACTGTGACAAGTTATATATAAAACAGTCCTTAATGAAGAGGAATTAATCATACAGGACCAAGGGCAGTACATCAGTGACTGCAAGCAAAGAAACAAATCAAAAGCAGCTACCGACCAAGGAACACTGTTACTGATCCCTGTGTGAAACAAGCCACATGTGCTTCACACTTTCTACTTTACGTATAAACAGTGAGTGATACACAAACCAGTTAACAGGTACAGCTGGAAACTGAGCCAGTCAGCAGCTGACAGGCTCGTGGGTGTGACTAAGCAGGCCGACGCCTACAGACTCAGATCCTCCACAGTAGAGAGGCTGCAGTCCTTTATGAAACAATGCTCTGAAAACACTAATGAATATGTCCATGTCCATGACAAGAGTCCAAACTGAAATAAAACCTTTCTGTCCTTCAGTTTTTCCACAGAAATCAAAATGCCAGTGCTGTAAGTGACTCATAGTGCTGTCACACAGCTGCTGAGGGATTTTACTGCAGTGAAACTGGAGTTGAATCAGAAAAATATTATAATGTATTCACTCTGCCTCATCTCTTGAGTTATCTGCTAATGGTGCTTCAACCCCTGGCTGCTCCACAGCACTGTGACTGAGCTTGTGGACAGGTGACTGAGACGAGCTGTGTAAAGAGCTTTAAGTGCTACGAGGCGCTACAAGAGGAACTGGTTCATGTGTTCCCTCATCTGATGTTTTTAATGATCATTTCAGCATTAAATGATACAAACCACAGAAAATAATGGTTCTGACACAGACTTCTATAAAACACACGGAGTCTCTACTATAAGCAGACGTCTGAAACGTGATTCTTCACTGTGATGAATCAAACTACTTCCACAGCAAGAACATTTAAAAGTGTTGGTTCAGCACAGACACACGTTTCCTCACTGATCTGCTGTAAGTCAGACATGTGAAGGAGAAAAATAAAGGTTTTACTGTTTAGTCTCACAGCTGTGCGGTTAAGAAGCTCATTGACTGACTGAAACTGAACTTATTATGTCACACGGCTTCCTCTTTGGGCTTCAGTTCTCTATGAAGCAAAGCAGAGCGACAAACAGAAGCTGTCTGTTTGTCGCTCTGCTTTGCTTTTCTAGCACACCAAGCAGGAGGACACGTGGTGATCACAAAGTGTGGATTCAGTGACTTCTACTGATGACCAGCAAGAGACGGTGGCAGCCCTAATTCTTTGGTATTAAGATGTGATTAACATATTTTTTGTCATTTAAAAAGGACAAAACCCCACACTAGCAGACAGCTGTAAAAGGTATAAACACGCCCCCAGCAGCCGAGGCTGGATGCAGGGTCACCTGATCCAGCCCTGACTATACGCTTTATCAAAGTTTTAAGCCCAATCTTAAAAGCTGCGAGTGTTTGACCCCTGAACCCAAGCTGGAAGGTGGTGAACAGGTCGGTGGTGTGACGGGGGCTTTCTGTTTAGGGTCCTCTTCACAGTCACCCAGCTGTTACTTCCAGGCTGAGTGCTGGCAGGTCGTTACATCGACAAGCCTGTGGACTGATGTTAGCTGTACCTTGACTCTGTGAAACTGCTGCTCCATAACCTGGAGGCTGCGTTTGGCTTCCTCATCGTGATTCTCCAGCTCGGCCTCCAGACGTTGGATCCTTCGCTCCAGCAGAGCAGTGATCCGGCTGGAAGAGGACATTTTGCCAGCGTCCTCGTAGCTGGCAGATGTGGCTGCAGCATAAATCAAAGCAGGCAGCGAATTTGGGTTTCTGCTCCTGAGTATTTGTTCCAGCTCCTTCACCTGGTGAAACACAAGTGATATGAAGTTGTAGAAGAAGGAAGGAGAAATGAATTGTTAGTGTATGCCCGTGTGCCAAACCTGTCGCTCCAAGTCCTTCATCCTCTTCAAGTCCACAAATTTGTCTCTCGCCTTTCTCTGCCAGCTGTTTCTTTTGCCCACTTCCTGTTTCAGTTTTTCTACCTGAAATGGAGACGGCCTGTTACTTCCCATCCTCATTCCTAAAGCTTTCACTGTTGTCACTGTAAAGCACCACAAAAGAACTCTCGCGGCCCGGTACCAAACGAGTCACGGACCGGTCCCCAACCCACGGACCCCGAGGCCCGGGGGTTGGGGACCGCTGCTCTAGAGCAATGTTTCCAGAGCCAGGAAAGATAGGCACGTTCCTCAAAATTAACACAATTTAAATCAATTTTAGTTTTAGTGGGGCGATCGTGGCTCAAGAGTTGGGAGTTCGCCTTGTAATCGGAAGGTTGCCGGTTCGAGCCCCGGCTCCGACAGTCTCGGTCATTGTGTCCTTGGGCGAGACACTTCACCTGTTGCCTACTGGTGGTGGTCAGAGGGGCCGGTGGCGCCAGTGTCTGGCAGCCTCTGTCAGTGCGCCCCAGGGTGGCTGTGGCTACAATGTAGCTGCCATCACCAGTGTGTGAATGGGTGGATGACTGGATATGTAAAGTGCTTTAGGGTCCTTAGGGACGAGTAAAGCGCTATATAAATGCAGGCCATTTACCATTTTTTTTCAAATCAAAACAATAGTTTCCTTGAGGCACATTTTGCTGTAACATAAAGAACTGAATGTTACACAGAAACCAACAATCACACAATCCCCTGTGGGAGGTGCTCTGTGACAGCAGAAAAAAAAACGATGGTTTGTGGCAAAACCATCACAGCCTGGTCACATGGTCTGACTGGGAAAGTACAACCACCAGCCTGCCTTAAATGGGAATGATGAATTATTCAAGTTGTATATCTAAAAAAAGTACAACAACAACAACAAAGACAAATAAAGTTCTGATCAACAAAGGAAACCATCTCTAAGACTAAACACTGACCTCATTAATTATAAATGGTGTGATTGAATGTTTTGTTTCTATTATAAGTCCTGTTTAAATTAGTTGTTTAAAGTATTTAATGAAAACTGTACCACACACATGCTAAAACAGACTCTTAGATGGCTCGACTACACCATCTATTTCAGGTACAAACACTGAGTCACACGTTAGAAGGTTATGTTACAGTCATTGAATTAACCTGCTTTATGTCCTGGTGGGCGGGGCTATGACTCGCCACACCCACTATCAGATCGTTACATGGAGAAACCTTTTGAATAGAGATTGAAAATGTGACGTCATTTCCGTGGTAAAACTGCAAAGGATTCTGGGTAAGAGTGGCAAGCGGTACCAGTGCACGCAGGCTTTCACATGAAAACAGTCACACAGCGATGAAAAGCAACACAAAAAATGGCAAGAAGCTGTTGTATTATTAACTGCAATAGCCGGTCGCATGACAGCCACGGGAAGCCGACGGGTAAAGAGATCGGTTTTATCGGATTATGTCGTTGAAGAGAAATTGTTCGAGCCATGTTTCTGAAGCAACAAAGAGCCGACGGATGGCCTGGATTGCAGCCATTCAAAGACCAAATATAACGTTGCAGAACACTCCAGCTCACAGGTTAGTCTGCTCCAAGCATTCCCACAAAGGTCAGTCTGCTGTTGTAGTTGTTGATGTAGGTTACAAATAAGTCTTAATTTGAATTGAATTCGTTGCTATGCTGCTTTGCTCACGGTGGCTTTGCGGGCTAATGTTTGTTGTGTTTTGTAGGAAAACCAGCCTACAAAATGCAGGAATGTGATCCAGACTGGGCCCCTCTATCAGCCTGGGTCAGACCGAGTTTAAAGCTGCTGCCACAGCCAGATTTGATCGGTTAAGAAAGAGAGCGAGATCGAAACATCCCGCATATATGTGCCCAACTGTTGTATTGAAGCAATCAAGTGATGAATAACTGTTTTCCAGTATGTTGTTTTTCACCGAAGCAGCTAATAAAGCACGATGGATTTTATTTTACAATTTGGCCTCTTTCCTGTAAGATTCTATAATAGAACGAAACAATAATGCCAGTTATAAATGAAAACAATAATTGAATGAATTACGAAACACTCATTTCATTTCTACTAGATCTGAAAATGTTGTGTAACACTACAACCTGAAACAACAAATAGATGCGTTGGCCTGTAACAGCAGCTGTGAGACGGAATAGTCCAAATCACCAAAGTAAACTGGAGCTGGGCTTGTTGCAGGATCTGAAGTTACTAAACATGTTGTGAGTGTGTGCACTCACACTTAGGACCATATAATAATAAATATGTGCGTGATGAAAGTTGTGCAGCACCCTAACGTCCTTACTCCACTCTGTATGCTCGTGTGGGTCTGACTCTTTCACTCCTTTGATTTTTTCCTCGTCCTTTTTTTGCCTCTTCATCACGTCTGTCTTCGTACAGAGCTGCCGTGTTCACCGTCGTTTTGTACAGAACTGCAACTCGTAAACATAAAATGCAAGTAGGGATTAAAACCGCAGAATTAATGATTGCCGGTGCTGGAAATGCTAGCGCTTGATGCAGTGTTTTGATGTTGTTGCCACTCGTACTTGTTGCCACTCGTACCCACAATGCAATGCACGAAAGTCACGTGGTCTGTCAATCTCTATCTCTGTCAATTTCTATACAAAGTGTTCACGGACACCTTGGCTGCTGCCTCTAAACATATTGAGTGTTGTCGGTCGTGCATGCTGCTCATTAACATTCAGTATTTGTTAGTTACTGTTACAGGTTGCTGCTGTGGTCTGCCTACTGTGTTGTTCTCTTTTGGTTTCTTGACTTTTCTTCCAGCAGGTGATCCAGCTGACTTTTGTGGTCTTTTCCTTCTGTCCCTCTGATTTTCTTGAACTTCCCTTGTCTACGCCTTTCCCATTCCTATCCCCCGGTCATGTCTGTTCTCATTGTAATAACTTAAAAGTAAAAATAAAGATCAATCAAGTGGACCAGTATGACAAAGCCGTAATGATCCACGTTGCCTGTTGGGCATCTTTCTTGGCCTTCAGACGATAACTCTGATGCTACAGTGCCGAACGGCACAGGAAGAATAACTGAATTAAACTAACAACAATGACTTGCATGATGGAAGTTCACTGAACTCAGAGTATCATTTAAATATGTCTGTGAAGGTTCTCAGTCATCTAGGTCATTTTGACTCAAAATTGAGTCAAAGGACTCAATTTTACCATTTCTCCACAACAGTTTCCCATAGTGGACCTCATCACAGCCACAGAATCTGCCATACGGATTAATAAAT